CGCCATCGGTTACGATCCCTACGCCCCCACCAACAAGGAATCCGCGAAGGGCTCCGCCCACCCCGGCGAGGACGAATCCGCTGCTTCCGCGGAGAACGCCTACGCCAATTTCCAGGGTCTCCTCGCTCTCGCACGCATCACCGGCTCGGGTTCCAACGAGGCCCGCGGCGCCTGCAACAAGTGCGGCCGTGTTGGCCACCTCACCTTCCAGTGCCGCAACTTCCTCAGCGCCAAGGATGCCGCCGCTGCCGACAAGGACAAGGACGCCGCGGAGGCCGCGGCCACTGCCGCCTTCGAGCAGATCAAGAAGACCAACGGACTCAAGGCCGAAAGCAGCGAGGAGGAGGAAGAAGAGGACAGCGACAGCTCTGACTCTGACGTGGATCCGGAGATCGAGAAGATCATCGCCGCACGATTTGACAAGAAGTCTAAGAAGAGGACAGCGGACAAGAGGGAGGGCGATTCTGAAGACAATAAGCACAGTCAGCGGCGAAGAGGAAGATCCAAGAAGAGGAGCGATAAGAAGAGGTCGGGCGGAGACAGTGAGTCCGATGAAGAGGACGTAAAGAGGAAGGAGAATAGGAAGAGGAGGCATAGGGGTTCCTATGATGATGACGAGGATGATGAGGAGAAACGTGGGCATAGGCACAGGAAGAGTAGGAAGGATAAGAAGAGGAGGAGGAGCCACAGGAGGAGGGATGATTCTGATGACTATGATGATGACTCAGAAGAGGAGTCCAATAGGCATCACCGCCACCATCATAGACGGAGGCATGGGCGCAGGGATGACTCTGGGAGTGATTCTGGTGATGAGGATAGTGAGTCATCTGATGATCGCAAGAGGAGGCACCATGAACGCAGGAGGAAGAGGAGGGCATCTTCTGAGAGTGGTTCGGAGAGCACTCGATCAGAAGACTCACGCCGGAGAAAGGGGAAGAAGCACTCCAAGGATAAGAGCAGGAACCACAAGCATGAAGAGAAGAATTGAGGTGGTCAGTGGCAATCTTCTTACACTATTAATGCACTATTTCATTTACTGTATGTTCTTGTGGACATTATATGTTTGTGAACTTCATTAAAACTTAGTTTGAAATGGTTTCTGTTATGCTAAGACCTCAGCCATTGTTACTGAGTGGATGTGTAAACTTTAAATTTGCCTTGATCAGGCTATATTGTGTATGATGATTGTGTAATTTAGTGTTTTCTTGTGCTTGAATTTTGTGGCTATGTTTTGTTAATTATGTAGTGTATTCCTCCTAGATTGTTCTTATGGAACTTAGGATGCTTATTGAGAACTACAGAATTGAAACAGTGTTGAGGGGCTGGATACTCAATAATGAAATGTCCAACAACGCAGAAAAGAATGTTTCTGTTCTTTGGTTGATTTAATTTGATCTATCTCTATTGATAACAATGTAAAATTGCCTGATGATTGGAAGAAATATTGTTAGCATCACGGATACAGAGATGAGGACAACTTCTTCAGGTGGTTATAAGAGTTGTGTCTTTGGCCTTTGTGGAATGTTTAGATATGCTACTTCTAAGGTAATGGAGAATGTCTTTATATTTCAAATCTTGTCTTAGTGGGAGGAGCTGTGGGAAGAGCCATGGGGGGCTCTTCTTTCGCTCGTCGCCAAGGTGGGTTCCTCTCTTGCTTGTCGACGAGGCGGGCTATGGGAGGAGTCGGGGTGGGCTACTCCCTTGCTCGTCGTTGAGGGACCCATGTCATTCGATGGGTCCGCTGTGGGACCATCCAAGGACCTATGTAGATCTATAGTAGGGATGTTGCGGAGGCGCCTCCATTGTCGACCTACTCCTACCCTTGTGTTGAGACGAGCCTTAGGAGGAGCTGATGCGGGCTCCTCTTTCGCTTGTCACCGAGGCTAGTCGAGGTGGGCTCTTCCTCTGCTCAGTCACGAACCATCACCAAAGGCGTCGACCCTGTCTCGGTCCAACCATCCTTTCATCGTTGGTCAGTCAAGGAAGAAGAAAGCTATGAAGAAGGTGACCCATCCTCGGTCGATTGAGGAACCCAAGGTGGAGCGGATTTCTGAAGAGGAATCGAACAAGGTGCCTCCTACCCCTGAGGCGCTAGCGTTTTCAAATGGTCCTTGAAACTCAAGATCCTCCTTGAGGAAAAGAGGAGAGAGAGGCAAAGGTCATATTTGACTTGTGTAAGGGCAAGTCTTTGCCTTTCGCAGCGTCAAAGTTAGTCGACCTATCAGACCCAATTCTAGACACATCGTTGCAGCCAATATAGGAGGGCTTGCAAGAAGGGTAGAAAATATAGAGCAATGCTGGAGTCGTGGATCAATACTACCGATAGTCCCTGTGCTCCGGGATAGCAAAGCAAATCTATCGCTTCGCCTCGGAGGTTTTGCTCGACGTGGGCTATCGTAATGAGATGCTGGTAAGTTAAGTCATGGGTCCTAGGTCGCCCCTTTAGTACCTTATTATTGTATCATGGCTAACCTCTTTGTTTTTGACTTGTAGTATCATCATTACATCACAACCCTTCTTGATCGCGTGTGGGATGCCGACTCCATTATTAATCTACAGTCCTTTATGATCGACAATCTACACGAGGAGGTGGAGGGGCTTAAGAGGGAGAGGGGAGACCTTGTGCTTATCGTTGAAGCATAGGCTCGGGGAGTTAAGCTGGCGAGGCAAGTCGTTGGAATCGATTCTTCATGGATTTTTTGGGTGAATAGCAATCGACCCGAGGTGGAGTCGACCAATGCCTCCTTTTTTGACTGTTGGAGCTCGTCATATCTCCTCCAAACATCGATTCATGTGTCGTAGTTGGATCGTAGGGAGTCCTCTGTCGAGTCCACTGATTGAGTCTCATATTCAGGCAGGCAGATTGAGGGTGGTGTGATATGTTGAATTCCATGGTCAGGGATCGAAGTGCCCCCTTGATCGATGGTTAGACACGCCTCTAGCGCTCCTGGGATGTCAGCACTGCGTTGGGTCAGGGAATCTCGACGAGCGTTGGTGGTAGTGGAGCCAAAGATTGTAGCTAAGCTGGTGGCATCGTCTGTTGGGCCAATTGGAGCAAAAAGGAGCGATGACTTGTATCATGCATTTTAACATTTGCACTTGCTAAGTGAGGTTTAATAACACCTTGATGAGAACAAGTAGGTGGCTTGGGGCTATCCTTGTGGACAAGAGACCCATGTCTTTGAATAGGCTTTAGTATCTCATCAGTGTCTACGCTAAAGTGGATGTACTAATGTGCAAAAAGGGTGGTTGTGCCCTTCTTGGATAGAAGTATTGTGGGTCGGGGGCAAAGCCTCTTCGCTCGAGCGTTCATTGAGAGGATTGACGGGCGGGCATTCATGTGATATCGGGTCCTTTTAGCACCAAAAATGTTATGGAAAGATGTCATTGACGACCTGGTCTGCTCGATGGGAGAGGTTTCCTGACCCGATCCCTCCGACATGCAAGCTAGTAACCCGATGAAGGTGAGTGTAGTGATGAGCATTAAAAAGTGATCCCTTTGCAACTGCGTTAAAAATAAGTTTTTTACCCAGTCATAAAGGTGCAGAATATTTTGTGAAATATTCTACGGGGAAGCAATCTTCAATCGCTTCTAACAATCTCTACTTGGCCTTTTCTCCACATGAGCGACAGGGTCAAAGACAACTTGCAATTGCCTGCCTTGGACTCTTGTCCATTGGACAGACCAGTAGTGGTTGGTGGGTTACTCAATCAGAATGGTTGAAACATTAAAATATAGACAATTTATTTGTTCTTTTAAATCAAAATTTTTATCTCCGAGTTTTAGACAGTATACATGCATTAGGATGGGTTCCCAGGAGAAAGAAGAAAAAGGGTGAACTTGGTTTGGTCAATATTGTCAAGGCAAGAGCAGCATATCTGTTTGGCTGGTTCGGCTATATCAAGGTCAAGTGTCAAGTGACTCAAAATCTTTGCATGCGTTTGGTATTTGGATGCCCAGAGAAACCCAAGTTTAGTCTCTTTGCCTGACATAAACTCTTCATGCAGTTTATCATGAAAATAAAGGTCATCTGTGTTCTACACTATACATATTTTCTTTGGAAATGCCTGAGCTCTACTTGTTATGTTTGAGAAGCTTTCCAAGTTTTCATATCTGATGTCTCAACTTAATCTTGTTTGACGTTTTTATGTTGCTATTGTAGATCAATCTGTGTCGAAAAGAATGTCGATTTCTGTTTCTCAATTTAATTTTCCTGCTTTACTTTTTATATTGCATGATTGATATTACTTTATAAGAAATTGCATTGGTTAGAGGCTCAACCAATTGGAATGAGCAGCAATGAAGAAAAGACCAATTCCATGGAGGCCACACCCTAAATGTGCCGGTTGGACTTTGTTTCTCCTAGCTGACTGTAAATTATAACAAAATGTCAAGCTAATGTCGATTGTTGTTACTACAATGTCTATTTGCTGCCTTCAAATTTCGATTGACCTGCACCAATCATCGAGACATTGAGTGCATTTGAAAATTGGATGTATTGCCAATGATGATAATTTTGAACTATACCTAATGACGATACTTCTCCTGAACTTATTGCCGAGAGTTCAATTCATTCATTCTGACTGAAGGCCACCTGTATTGCTTCTTGAAAAGGATATCTACCGTCACTTGTTTGTAAAGGTTGTTGATCCATCAATACATGCTTGGCTTCTCTCTGATAACCCATGTCACATGTTCGATAGGATTCAATCCAAGCCCTTTTACTATAATGAATCGTCCTGTATATACACTCTGTCCCGAGTTCATCTAATACGCCACCCTTTATTCGTACCGGTCTTTGCTCGTTTCCTGTCATCGGTCATCATTAGGCGGGTTTGGCGGGCTAGTCTGGACTTTATATTTGGGCTCTCTATTGGAGCCCATTTAAGCGTCCGATATATATATATATATATATATATATATATATATATATATATAAAGAAATAATCTTCATCAGAGACAGATAAATACGAAGGTGTTTTTTGTTGGAACGCGTGCTACATAGTTAGTTCATCATCCGTGGACAGGATGGCAATACGAAGAGAGGAGGTGTTTCTACTCTCATAAAGCCCAGCGGATCGGGAGGGCGTTGCACCGAACGGCAATAAAACGAAACCAAGTCCCAAATGAAAGCTTGAAGGGTAGGTGGCACGGGTTCTCCTTCTCGTCGCTTCCTCCTCCGCCCGTTCTGCTCGTTAGTTCCATTTGTTCATTCGAGTCGAACGATTCCTGTTTAGGTTCGTCCTTTCTCGCGGAAGCGTCCTCGATCCGTTTTATGGTTGAATGTGCTGCTTTAGGGCATCCGATTGCGTTTTCTTTGGCCTTGAATTCGTGTCTCATGCGTAACGTTTCTGTATTTGTTTCGGTGTTTTGGGTGAGGTAGGATCATCCGAGGCCAAGCTCCATAAATTGATTACAAAGAAGGCGATCTCATCTCTTCTCTATTTCACGAATCACAATCCTCTTTCTGTTAGCACGGTCTTCGTTATAGCCAATTTGCTCAGTCCAATCTGGCTCTCTCTTGCAAGGGCTCACTAGTGATGTATCGGGCCTTGTAGATCTCGTTGCAAGGGCTTAAGAGGGCGCGATTCTTCTTACAGAGGAGTCGCCTCTCTCTCAGTCATGTCATCGTGGTATAAAGCTGTTGTTTATCATATACTAGTCTATGATGACAATCCTTTTTAACATCAATTTTCTTCTAGATGATTTTTTAGCTTATTCCTTTGTAATCATTTTGTTGTTTCATTAATTTTAAGCTCCGACATAATTAGCACCAAAGGCACCATGGCATGACAGTGACATGCAGTTTTGCTCGGTCGATTCATATACAACTTCAAACTTGATACAGGTTCAGCCGGTCGTATAACATTCTAGTAGAGCCTATGATGTATCTGGGTGCAATTGTTAATTGTTATTTTGAATTTGGTTGCTGTTTGATATTTGTCAACATAATCTCAATGTTTCAAATTGGATGATCCCATTTTTTGCTTCTTAATTTATGTTTTTGTTATTGATCAGGGTTGTCGGTATATTGTGCCTGATGTGGGCAGGTTCCTTGTCGAACATGTTCATGAATTAAAATAATAGGAATGATAATGAATAAAAAAATATGAATTTTTTTAAGCTACATCTTAACTTATGATAACCACTCTTCTTAGGTTGTTGAAAGATACTATTGTTCCCTAGACACGCAAGAAACTGCAAAGTGCATACATTAGTTGAACTTCTACCAGTAGATATTCACATATTTATTATATGAAAAGAGGATGATTTGTTCTTGCAGATTCAATTGTTTTAAATGGGATCAACGGATAAAGCCATTGAAATAGATGTGTTGGAGAGACGATTGTTGTCAGGTTCAGTTTCAAATGAATATTCTGAAGTTGATGAAGACACAATTCTCTACACTGCATCTTTTGATGAGATGGAAGATAACTATGTTAAATACCAAACAGCTCAATGGATTCTTTATTCCTTGCTTTTGGTACTGGCATGGGGAATTGGGGTTTTAATGTTGCTATATTTGCCAGTACGAAGATATGTCTTACGGAAGGACTTCCGTTCTCGCAAGCTATATGTGACTCCTAATGCTATTGTGTACAAGGTAAGCAAAAAAACCTCTACTGGTCTATTGGTGCCACTGTGTTTTATCTTTTATTATGTCAATTTTTGGCTTAAAGATGTATTGACATCTTTTGGATGCAAGTGTGTTTCTCCGAGTACATTCTTTACAGAAAAGATTATCGTGAAAGTTTTTTTTTTTTCTCTTCACTTATCTTTTTCCAATTACTAGTACAGGGAGAGTGGTACTTGGAGAAGGCGTCATGATATGAAAAAAGGTCTCTATTTTTAGTGGATTGTATTCAAAATTGTAATGTGCTAAGCATAGTGATGACCGAGAAGGGTTTAAGAATAAATGAACGTGGGTGCCCATGAAGAACACATCATGGTTGTTCATTGCACTTACTCGTTTACTAAGGCACTACTTATGATCTTTGTTTATGATAATGCATTTACTGATAGTAAGGGCTGTTCATTGTAATGGATTAGGGGCTGCATTCCATTGCTTTTGCTTGCTTTGTGATTTATCATAATGCTGCACTGTGCAACAAAATATGTAATTTTCTCCTTATTTTAGACTTTTGTCATGTTAGTTGCATGAGTTTACCCTCCATGCAAATGATAGACGTTGTCACCTACCAACTATCTTTAGAGTTTCAATGTATCCTCCTCTTTCTCTCTATTCTTTTGAGGTGCTCAGATAGATACGGGCACCTATATGTGTTGGATATTTGATATATATTTACTGTGACTCTTTATTTTTTTCCTTTTCTATTTTGACTTTAGAGAAGAAACTTGTGTACTTGCATACAGAGAATAAATTTTATGATAGTTATTTCCTCTTTTGGTGTCTATAGTGTTTACTCTGAAAATTTAGTAAAACAATATCCACATCTTATAAATGGTTTAATCTGGCCAGTATATCTGGACCAGAATATCTTTTTAAATGATAATCTGCTTTGGATCTTCCATTTCCATACTTGTTTCGCCAGTAACTCTACTGTGATACAGGTTTCAAGACCAGTACCTTTTCCTTGTTTTGGAGTTTTGAAGAAAGAGAAGCATGTGCTGCTAGCATCAGTTGCAGATATAGTTATTGAACAAGGTAATGGGGAACCCTGGAACTAGTCTCAATTGGACAGAAGTTAGAAATGTGGTTGGCTTGCTAATCTTTTCTAAGACTTACCGTAAATCTAGCTTGACAATTTATTTTTCACAATGACAATATATTTGTTTTATGCATATGAAGCTAACATAGTTGAAATGAGAAGTTATCTTTGAGTTTACGTGCTAACAAAGGTAAGAGAAAAATTGCTGATGGAACTGAATGCTTCCAACATACAAATTTGCTCAAGAAAAGGAAAGTCTAAGTTTTTGATAAGTTATGTTTTAACCTTTAACACAATGTCTTGAGCTATAACTGGCATCCTTGCTGCCAATTAATGTATGATTAAAACATCACTCTTGATATTGGAAACGCTTCTTTTTTTAATGATGACATCTATCTCTGTTTGCTTAACATGCATAAAGTATTACTATAAATGTGTATATTGTTGGCCGAGGCATCAATGATGTAGTCACAAATGGGTTCCTTGCTGCCAATTAATGTATGCCATAAAACATCACTCTTTATATTGGAAACCCTTCTTTTTTTTAATGATGACATCTATCTCTGTTTGCTTAACCTGTATAAAGCGTCACTATAAATGTGTGTATTGTTGGCTGAGGCATCAATGATGTAGTCCCAAATGAGAGTCACCTATGTTCCATTCTACATGTGCCTAAATTTCACTCTGATTTCTTAGATCATCATTTGATTACATAATTCCTGTTCCTTCTTTTGCATACTCTGTCAGCTGTGATAATGATTATGAGTAGGAATAGAGGAAAACCTGGTGCGCGAGATCTCTATCCAATGGCGGTGTCCAAAGAAGCTCAGATGTATTCGTGCCTATGCTTGCATGTAGAGTAGTTGTCTGTGTGACTGAACCCTTGACCTCATATAGCAGTTAAGCAGCCTTAAACAGGAAACCATTGTTCATTCTACGATGACAATGACTTGGAGTCGGAATCACAGATTGAAATACATTTATAAGCTGGCCTCCTTTTTTAAGTTCCTAATTTGGCTCATTAATGTTTTTTTGGCATATCACATATAGAATTGGGAACTAGTGTCTAGGTGCATATAGAATTGACTATTGAGAACTAATGAGGGAAATGTTGGTCTATCATCCAACAACTTGGGAGTTGGGTCTACTAATTATGTATACTCAGACATTAATAATACCTTGCTCTGGAGTCCAGAACTTTACTAGTTTTAGTTGATGTATAACAGTTTCTTAGGTTTGTTTGGATTTTAATTAATTATACTCAAATGTCACTTAAATGCCATATCTTATGAAATCCATAAATTTCTGAAAATCATATTTCCTTCCCATTGTTTCACCTCTTTTTAGCTTCTTTTGTTTGTTAAGTGATTCTCTCATCTGCAGCACATAATCGGGCTGTCAACAATTTTAACTTGGCTCAAATTGTTATTGGTTGTTTCATCTCCATGTCCCCATAGTGCTATTCATTAATTGATCAGAGTTTTCTTTTCTTACCTTTTCGTGTATGGTACTATTGATGAATTCACTCCAGTGTGTTATAGTCATCCCTTATTAAAATGGTGCCATGCAACTTTTTGCATGGCCATCTTAATAGAGATAGGAAGTTGCTGGTTTTTTGCACGGATTATCACACAGTTAAATAAGGTGTTGCTTGCATGCAAAATAAACTTTCAATCATTGCTGTAGTGCTTCCTAACAAGCTTCTGAATTTTATTAGGATACCTTCAATCCTTCTTTGGGATATATTCTGTCAGAATACATAATGAAGGTGTAAGAAGGATTGCGAATGATGATTTTCAGATCCAAGGAGTTTCTGATCTAAGGGCTTTCCGTAAGGTACAACTGATTGGATAGGAGTTTAGTCATGACCTCTTATTGCTATTGTAGATAAATTTGAGTGTACTTTGCCCAGGCTATTTTAATGCATCTTTCAAATATAAGGAGTGATGGTTTCAACAGGCAAACTTCTGTAAATGAAGATCCTCAGACATTTGGTTCTTGTCCTCCATCTGGTTCTTGGGTATGCTCATGCCTTTTCATGCATGCTGCCTTCTATAATATTTTTGCTTTGTGGAGTCGTTACCATTTAATGCAGCTTACCCATGTTCAAATTATTTTCAGTCCAGTGGATTCTGATTGAGCTCATGCTGGTTGGGTGATTTAAAGTATTCTTCCTAATATGAAGTAGTGCCATTGATGATTTAGTTGACCTAAGTCAGCGATAGCTATATATCATTTTCTATACCAATTATATATGTAGATTACTTTTCCTTTTTGGGAGACAACTTGGATGCCATTTGTTTGTCGACCTCAGTGATTTAAATAGATGCTCGAGCAAGGCGAGGCGAGGCCCGAGTGCCTCATGTGTGGACCAGGCGACACGCTTTAATGAGGCGCCGCCTAGGCGCTCGCCCAAACCCAGGTGTCGGGTGCTTCGAGCGAGCGTCCGATTCAAGTAAGGCAACTGAACTAGACTTTTAAGTCTGGTTTAGTTCAACAGTAGTTAGTTGGTTCGATCGAACCAACTACCCTCAAAAGCTACCCTTCACGCCCATGTGACTCCGAGCCAACCCTAGCGTTGCTTCTACCTCTACCGCTAACGCTTTCTATTGCTGCCTCCGTCGCAGGCGCAGTGGACCAAGCCTTCCTCTATCGCTGACAGATGGGTTCGACGGCTAGCAAGAGCCCGTAGCTTCCTTCCGCTGTCACTCCGTGTGCAGTTCCTTCCACTATTGAGGGAGAGCACCGTAGGTTCCTTCACCACCGATGGATGTCCTTTGGAGTTTCCGTCGCTGCCGCTGTCCATAATTTTCGTCGTTGCTGTCGTTCATAGCACTGCAGTGACTGTCTTAAACTAATCCTCCGCCACTATTGCTGCCAGCTTCTCACTGCTGTGTTTACCACTTTCCACTATCGGTTTCCACTGTTAGTGACCCTTTTATCCCCCTATGTTCCTGTTAACAGTTTTTTTCTCCCCCTCTTAACTATTGTTAACAGTAGATTTTTAATTTAATGTCATATATTTATTTAAATAATCATATTTATTAATTATATTATATATTTTAATATTTTAATATTTCAGAGTGCCTCGCTTTGCTGCTTCGGCCGTTTTGGGACCTTAGTGCCTTTTGACGCTCGGTGCTTTTTAAATCACTGATTGACCTTGGATGTACTGCCTCTTTATATTTGTACAAATTTTAGATATTCTAAAGTGTCAATATTGGAGATCTCAAACCATCTCCGTGTAACCCACTAACATATAGGATTTGGATCAGCTTGTAGAATATAACCTTCTACTGGTAATCACTTGATGATGTTCTTGCATCTGGCCGAGAGCAGACTATCTGGATGTCTACATTGTTGAGTCAACCTTCCTGATTGTGCTGTCAATTGCAAATGTCATTTTTAAGTTCTCTTAGGCAGTGTTTTGTTTAAGGATAAGGAGAGCTAGAGGTCAGTTAAGAAGTTCACCCACCATACATTGAATGAACAATTGGAAACAACTCAATATGGTCTAATCTGGAATCCTAAATTAAAATAAGTCATCGAGGACAATGAGAGGCAATATGACCTCTATTATGGCACTAATGACATTGGACTGAAGACATATTAGTTTTTGTTTCATGGCTTCCTACTAAGTGATGAGAGGCTCTCGATGGTTTCTGAGATTACGTTGGACATATTTCCAATATTTCATAGTGGACCCTATCAGTTTTATTTTTTGCAAATTGCACACGATCAATATCAATCATTCCATACCACTCAAAGTAAGCTTCCATGCTAGCCAACCAGTCAACAAACACATTTGGGTGAAACCTCCCATCAAAGTCCGACACATCCACTTTGACTCCTCTAGCCATTTCTCCCATATTACCAACAAACCAAACTCAGCCCATTACTCGGATTTGTAGATTTCTAGCAGGTTATATGAATTCATCGTTAAGGTCAAAGGCTTGGTCATTAGGAATTGTTGGAACATGATTGTGAATAGGTGCCCAATAGGTGGACCTAGGATTTGTTTGAATTGGGGCTTAGGGAGTAGGTAAAATTCAATGATTTGAAGCTATGGAATGTGGAGAATGGACTGTTGCCTAATCGACTCATTAACCTCCTCATTCATGGGGTTTTTTTCAAGATGTCAGAGAGATCTTAGGACTTGGGTCATTTGGTCACATAACTAGTTTAACATTGTGTCATGATATACTAAGTTGGTCCTAAGGGTGTCTACCTCAGTCTGTTGGTTTAGAGATTCATCAGGATCGGTCTGATTTTTATCTCACCGAGTCATGATCCTAATGCTATCAACAAATTATCTTTTGATAATATGGTTGTTAATTATCACTGTGCACAAGGTAGAAATGCAACGATTCAAATAGTTCTCACTTTTCTTTTCTTTACCTTTTATTTTGTTTTGTTTTGTTTTTCGTTTTTTTGGACAACTCTCAAGGGTTCAAATTTTAGTGGTACTGTAATTGTAGCTGAAGGGGAGAGGGAGAACAATAAATAGAAAACAAAAGAGAAACGAGGGAGAAGCGATGAAAACAACGTTCTAATGAAATATATGGTTTTTCTTTCTGACAAAAAAGTATTAGTAAAGTTTTCAAAAATTTACCTAACATTAAGAGCTATATGGTCCACTAATTTCATAGGGATAGTTGCCCCAAAGTTCAACTCCACACGTAAGGGATTAACATTGGAGGCGTAAGGATCCTTGAGTGTTGATTGGAGCTTTTGTTACTAGTTGAAACCCAATGGAGTACAGGACAGGTTTCTTGATGTGCCCTGATACCAAACTGATGTAGAACAGAATAGAGAAGTAGAGAGACAGATAGGGGAAGAGAAAGTACAAGAAGTGTGAGATAAGAGAGGAGAGTCAGAGACTAGAGAAAATGCAATTCTTTTCATTCAAATCTAAAATGTTTGATCCAATAATAAGCTCCACTATTTATTGGGGTTTAGGTGCCTTGGTACAATTAATGAAGACAATGATTTTCAAGAGTAATCTCTTAGGTAATTAATTTATCTTTTAAAATTTTAACATGTGACTTCTAAAATACCTAAATAATAAATGAGTATACTTAATACAAAAGGAGTCGTAAAAAGACCAAAAGACTTTTTAATTTTCAACACAGCACTTGAAATTTTTAGGCCAACTAATTAATGACTTTTTGTTGATATCTTTACCTAGGACAAACTTTTCTGAAATCCTCCGTGAAGCTCAATGGTTCTGCATCACCTACTCATTAGAGGTGAAAGATGCTCTACCATTCAATGCACAATGACAGCATTTGGCTTAAGATATTTTAGTTTCAGACAAATATAGCCTTGTACTTCTGCTCCTTTTGGTTAGATGTTGCAGAACAACTAGAAATTTCTGATTTAATATAAACCACCTAGATGAATGGGTAACTATCTATCATCTATTATTTAGCCAAAAAGTCAAGAAAACTTTGTTAGGTGGCAACCAAGCATAAAGACAATCTATTTTGATTTGCCTCGGTCTAGAAATTCTGCTGTGTTATTCGAATGTTGGACCAAGTGCCAGCCTATAGTTCCCCAAAGACGATGATTGTTGCAGATTTTCTGTGAACCTGCAAACTCTAGATTATATTGCCTTATTTTTTGATAGCTTCTAATCGCAGTCAATTTATGCTGTTCCTTCAGGACTTTATTTTGTCAACTGTACAAACCTAATTTTCAGGGCCACCTTTCTTCTTATCTGCAGATAGCCCCGCCTGGAGATCTGATATTGCAGAGACTTGAGGAGGTTGGAAGTTCAATAAAGGTATGACTGGTATATTGTTGCTTATCTTCAGCAATCAAATGCTGATTGTTGCACCTCCACAAATGCTCACCCAATGCGGGGGGAAACATTTCCTCTCATCCTATCTGGTGAGAATTTTGGGGTAGGATCTTGAAGATAATTGAATATAACAGAAGTTAGTTTGTAATCCACTTATTTCCTAATTTGCCAATTAACTATTTATCTTGATTGTACTGCAGAAGGTGCAGACTTTAATTGAGAAGAAGCCCGAAGCATCAGAAATCATGGACTAACATCATCAAAGTCTGTGAGGTTCAAATCTTTTAGTTGCTCACTTATTTTGATCTTTCTGACAAATAAAAGCAAGTGTTGAGATTCTTGTATTTTCTTAATGTTAACCAGCTGTCCTGCTTATTCATGTGGCAATCTAGAAACTTGTTAATTGATATAGGTACATATTGAGCTTATTGTTTTCATAGATGAATAGCAGCTTCATTTACTTTCTTGGTTGTTCATGTTGTGCCTTCCATTATATTCAATTAAGTACGCTTTTGTGGTACTTTAATTTAGTTCTGTCAGGTTTTTCTGTATTTCCATACATGTATTATTAGGATTTAATTAGCATCTGTGCACATGTTAACTACTTGGTAGAAGAACTAATTCTTTCATGTTCTATTTTGTTATCTACAGCTTGGTCATCTCCTTTGGTTAAATCCATTTTTTGTTTAATGATCAAGTTTACTTTTATAATGACAAATTTACCATATGCTGGTCATCTCCTTTAAAAGATTTAGCACTTTATGATTGATCCAAGTCATCCATGGGTTGTAATACCTTTGGCTTAGTCAAAAAATATACTTTTAGCTGCTGATGACAAATGGCTCGACAATTTCTCGAGAACCCATAGTATGTTGTGACTTGTGATGGCCCTGAATGTTACAAAAACATTTCTTAGGAGTTTTTGCAAGTTGATTTTTTATAAGTTTAATCTGGTTATGATACAATATATTTACCTATCTAGTTGTAAGCTTATTAAGTCTCCTGCTTTTTGAACTTCATTTTCTAGTATTTTGTAAATTTGAAATTGTTATTTTTCTGCTTCAGGAAGATGCTTCTAAGGAGTGGTGTTTAATTGCATCAAATTGTTCGTTTGTCATTACCTTTTGAAGTTGTGCTATCTTTGTTCTCCTGAACATTTAGCATCTAAGTAGTTGTTCTCTGATGATTGAAGTCCCATAGGCCCATGATATCCTTCCCAAAGCTCCTGTTGGACATCCACTTCCTGGTGTCCTTTTCAATTGAGACAACATAGAAGATATCAACGTGTTTAGCTTTTCAAGTAGCCAGAACAGTAGATTCTTGATTTTAGGCATCATCACCCCTACGGAGCATGATGTTTTTCTCTTGTGCACTTACCGTCTTCCTTTTGGCCGTTACAGGATGATGATGGGTGTGCAATTGTGCTCTCCTGGTGCTGATGTATCCACTTCTGATCATAATAACCATCTTCACCACCCGAAGAGGTCAATCCTGCTTAACTCTTTACACTTGCATCTTGGTTGTGACCATCTTAGAATATTTTGTTCTTGCAAATGTAAGAACCTAGAAACATAAAAGATAATCCATGAAGCTATATAGAAGATATCTTTTGACTTGTTGCCCTGTTTCTTTCGAACTCCACTGTCTTGCTCTGTTAACATACTAATCAAATCCTAGCTTCCAGCTTTGGCATCTGTTGGCATCTTGAAGTTTACATGCTAACACAGTCACAAGTTTGTTGTTTCGGAATAAATCAGGTCGGGTTAGAATCTGAGAATTGGGAAATCAATATAATAGAAACATTAAATAAGTTCAATGTCTGAGTTATAGGAACAACTTGACTTGGGCTAAATAACGTGGCACATGTTCCATCCACAAGCGTTGGATGTCATGGTTCAAAGTAGAAAGAAATCTTGCAGAGGAAGTAATGGTACTGCAAGATGACGTTTTAATAGGTTGGTCTTAGACACAACATGGTTCTCAGATTTCTTGGTCAGCTATTAGGGTCATGATCAACAATACTCTTTGAGTGACTGGTGAATTCATAGTATATGAATGTGTCGCGATTTTCTTAATCCACCTTCCCAATACTTTGTTTCGAGACATGATTTTGTTTGTCTATCATTCTTTTAGATGACAAGCATTGTGGTCAGTCTACTTGAATAATCTATTCAGCGTAAGTAATTTTCTTGTCCAGCCAACCACTTTTGTTTCTTCATTGACAAGTCTTGTATGCATGACTCATTCTTTCATTTGAATAGAATCAATATACTTGACCTCATGTTTTGCTCAAGTAATCATCATCACATCATACATGTTTGAGATTTCAACTCTTGGCAACAACACGAGCTTGAATTCATATATGACATGTGACTAGGTTAAACATGCCTTTAGCCTAATCCGATTATTTTTAAACGATGGCGTGTCGTAATTGTTCATCGAGCACTTGATATTTAAGTTACCATTGTTAAGAAAAAGTATTGTGAGTTACCATTTTTAAACATGCTTTTTTTCAATACTCTTTTTATTGTGTGGGATTTGTTAAGAAAAGTATTTTATATTTAGATTTAATGTTGATGAGATAATTACGTCAATTGGTGTTGGTGAGGTTTGGATCATTCCGAGGGGCATGAAATGTTCCAACACATAATTTTGACTTCAATTCGAAGAGTCACATGTATCATTGTTTCGTTTCTTTTTATTTATGATGTGAATTAATCGTGATCATCGATTCTCCTTCGGCCACCACCTCAATCATTACGAGCCGTTCACGACTCCTCTCAATCAATGTCAATCATCTCCTTGACGCATTCAATTCTCTCCCACCAGCCATTTGTTTGCATCGTCCTATCAACCAGTGTTGTCTCTATCACTGCCCATGTTAGTACATTTCGCTGCCTTCCACCATCCTTCTTGACCGCATGCATGTCACATCACATCACATCCATTGATGAGCACAACCCAAAGGACACGAACGCTTCGCTTGCTGATTCCATTCACGGATGCTGCAAGTGACCAATCGATTTAGTTGCATTGTCTTACGGCAATGAACTACTGAGTTATATCAGTCATCGGTATACTTCGAAAGCTAGATTAAGATTTAAAACATCTTCGACGCGGATGTACGATGGGGACATTGGGAATCTCATGTTTGGACCAAGGAAACGCTGTCTCCTGTTCTTGGAACATAGCCAAGTTGGCGACTGGCTGCCATCCTGTCACATCTCCACGACGCCGACCACATGATTCAATCCCAGACAAAACAGGCATCCGTCGACCGACAGGATCCGCGCAAATTGATGAACGTAGATGGAAGCCAGAGTGACAAGGACATGTAAGATGCTCATCCGATACCTAAAGATCTCAAGCTCACATGCAATGCAATGCAATGCAGCTGTGTAGATTATTGTTATTGCTATCACTACTGATATTAGTAGGTATTATTTATTTTGTGGATCACGTCATCTAAGTGGACTAAACAAAATTAAATTAAATATAAATAATGATAGAGAATATTCGGCGAGGTGAGAAATAGACATCAACAGATACAGACGGCAGTGATGATGCATACATAAGATAGATAGGTAACTAAACCTAATTAGTGGTCCAAACCCTCCCACACCCAAACACAACATGAATACTCTTTTCCCCCATTATGTACTCTCCATCAATCATGTATCTTTTAGAAATGTTGTTGGTAAACTTGCTTTATCGTTCTTTCCTATTAGCCACAGGCCTTATGGCCTATGTTGCCGGAGTTCATGCCTCCCTCTCCCTCTCCCTCTCTCTCTAAAAGGATGGAGTTCATGTTACCCTAATAAAACGGTACTGTATACATGCATGGCCTATCTTAGGATTCTGATCATCTATCTAGTCGAAGACAATTTGTTCATGTTGGAGCTTTTATTTGAATATATTAATATGTCTCTTTTCTAATTTTATAAATTATGAGGGAGGATTTTCCTCAACAGAGTAGAGAGATTTTCTCATCTAGTTGAAAAAATCTTATCTGCTATTATGCCCTCGCAAGATGATGCTCCTGTCAAGGATACCAATCTTGATGCAAAGCAAACAGTTTACGAGCCAAAAGCTGAGTAGGGCAAGAGCTGTTGCGACGGCGACGACCTATAGTAGAGGAGAAAGGTGCAGTAATATAGAAAGCTATAGCAATGCTATAATAGAGGAAGAAGCCGCAGTATAGGAAGAAACAGAGGAAGAAGCCGCAGTATAGGAAGAAGTTGCAACAAAGGAGGAAGCTGCAGTAGAGGAAAAAGCTGCAGTGATGCTACAACAGTATCAAGGAGGTGAGAGGTGGGTGATTGTGGTGGCTTGAGTTTGTGCACGCAACGGCGATCCACATGGTGCTGTGCGTGGCATGATTGTACATATACACGAAGGAGAGCGCACTGGACCACTGAGTCTCGGCGTGTAGATTATTGAGAGCACAAGCGTTCCCTTCGTTCTCCTCAAGTCCGTCGACTGTTGGTAGAGACTGTTGGTAGATCAACGAAGATTACCGCGATGAGGAAGATGAGGATTGGCCCTACCGCGGTGAGAAAGATGAGGAAGAAGCTTTTACTTATACATTAGCATGTCTCTCTTCTATTTATACAAATTTCGAGGAAGAATTTTTGGAGAAAATCTTATTTGCTATCGGTTGAACCATGCAATAGTTCGACATGTTATGTGATGATAAATATTTATTAGTGGTAACTAAGATTGAAGACATAATTGATGTGATATCGTCGAATTCGTTCATGATGGCTTGCGATCAAGTGAGGAGACATGTCGGAAATACCACCAATTAATAGCCAATTGCCACATGGAAAACAATGCTTCGGGACACCTATGTCGCGCCACACACCCGAAGGCGTGAGGCCTTTTGGCGCACGACTGCCACCTGTCGCGGTCCCCACCTGCGCCGTCGTGTCGACCAGCTACGCAGTCGGACCGAGCAAGGCCAGTCATCGGATGGTTTTCGCCACGCGCGTAACACTCTCCGCCACGCGGTTACGGGCGATGACTTGGGGAGCAAGCTAACGAACCGGGCGAGGAATTGGGTCGGACCCATCGGCCCAGAAACCGGCGGTCCAGCTGGCGCCGTCCTCGTCGCGCTCTGGCTAAACGGTGCACCCGGTGGCTGGGTGGGGGAGCCGTTTCCGCGAAGCTTCCAGTTAAGAAAGGGTGAGGGGGGCAAAGTTGAAATTTTATGCATGCCCTCTTATCCCCAAAGAAACCTTCTTTTATTGTCGTCGTTAACTAATGGACATGGGGGCATATACATTTAAAAGCGAGCGTGGCCGACCGAACCCGTCCCCGTCTCACAAGTGACGCTCGCTCTCTCTCTCTCTCTCGCGCGCGGAGCATTTGGTGCCTCGATCGAGGTAAGACCCTCCCCTTTCTTGTCGACATCCTGTCGTAGACTTCCTCTTTTGCTGATACCTGCTTTGTTGCTCTTTCCCTTGGATTCCAGCCTTCGAATTTTACGGATCTGATTGCGTGATTCGCTTGGTGTTTCCAAACACTCCTTCGTTTCAAGATTCATGGATGCTATTTCGTGTTTCTGTAGTTATACTGATCTCAACCTTTCTTTATTGTCCGTTCTTTGTACGAGACTTGTGATGGTTAATTTTCTTTCTCTTTGATCCATTGCTTTCTGCATCCTTTTGGTCGCAAGTCTTTCCTGCCTGGTCATTTGATTTGTATGTGTCTAGTGATTGTTATTTGGGGTGGTTTGGTAGTAACAAGGCTTGGAGTCGGTCAGATCGGTAGTGATTTCTGGTAGAGCCTGGTGCGTAGGGTGATGCGAGATCGGTAGCCATGGGCACTGGAATTGGGGATCTGCGGGGTGTGATCGGTGATCCGATCACTGCTGGTGGTTTCAAACTCAGAGGGCGGCCGCCGGCGATGGCCGCCTCACACCTAAATGGCGTCTTCGACGTCCAGGGCATTCCATTTCTTCATACCCCTTCCGATTCCAGTGATGCGAGTGCTCCGTCGTCGTCCGATACCGTCACGAACGGAGGATTTAGTCATGATCATCCATTCGCTGAGGAGAATGCCTTCGGCAGCTCACCGCTGGGAGGGCAACAACGCTTCTCGAATCAGAGTAGTTTGTTCGGTCTCCCGGATGTTGATCCTGGTTTTCCCCCCTATGTTTCCACCCGAGACTCCAACCTTGCGCCATCGCTTGGCGCAGGCCCTGAGGTTGATGTCTTTGAAGACTCCGAGATCTTCTCTGATATCGTCCTCAACTATATTGACCAAATGCTCATGGAGGAGAACATTGATGAGAAATTCGATGTATACCCAGAAGACCCTGCTCTGATAGCTGCAGAGAAACCCTTCTATGAGATCTTAGGTGAGAAGTTCCCACCTTCGCCCGATCGGCCACCGTTGTGTTCCAGCCATTTTTCTGACAGCCCCGATGATAGCATCAGTAATCACCAAGGAAATTCCTGTATCAGCATTTGTGGCAGCACGGTCATCAGCAACTGCCGGCCGTATGACCCTGTCGAACATTCTTCTCGGCTGCAGACTCATCCTATACTAATCGACTGCTCTTCACATTGTTCATTCTCCTCCACAAATAGCTTTGGGAATATCACGGAAGGG